TCAACTCAACTCAACTCAACTCAACTCAACTCAACTCAACTCAACTCGACTCAATTTGATCAACTGGAAATCGCTCATCCCAGTGCATTGTTATGTAATCTTGTGTAATGTAGATAGAAACAGCTAACTGTCAAGATTATGAATGAATCAAGAGAAGTTTTACTTCCGTAGCGCGGTACAGGCGGACCTATTCTTTTTGGGATTTATTTATATAATAAGGGTAGACATACTTATGTAGATCATCTGAACCGGTGCCCAGTTTCGCGAGGTGCATTGCAATTGCCACTAAAATCCTGCTTTTCTTATACTGCATGAGAATACCCTTTCACTAATCTGGTTACAGATATAAAATTCAATCTTTAAAAATCATGCTACAAATGAAGTCCCTAAAAGTGTTATGCAGGAAGTAAATTTCAATTTCGCTTCAATTAATTTAGATGGTACGTTGAATTTCTCTTATGTGTGTCCTGTCCACAATAGTTCTTTAACGAAAACAATTTTTGTACAACAATTCAATCAACTATCTATTAGGTACTCATAAAAAAAATATCGTGTAACGAACGCAGTACAAAATTCAGCAATATTCATAAATGTACATACATACATGGTATGAATGCGAATAATTTTCTATGTGTGCCATACAAATACAAACACATTCACAAAATATTCTTCACTCAGGTATATGCTTACCTTTAATCGCTTCGTTGGCAATGTACTCACTCTACAAAGCACTTTATTGGTCACTTCATTCTCTACTAAATAAGAATCACGCTTGAATTGTTGCTATCATTTCAAAATCAATTTGACTCTTCTTCATTGAATATTGAATTTATTTTTTTACACGCTTTTTCATCATTTAGTGTACTTGTGAGCGGAGAAATATGGAGAATGTTGAGATCGCATTGAGCATACATAGTTTTTCATACAAGGTTTACCCGATTTAAAGGTGCAGTATCTTGTTGAAGAATACCACAAATAAAGTATTAACGTGTACTGAATTATGTAAATTTCTGGCCAATAAATTCAGTCTCATTTATAAAATTTTTTTAAATTTTTTAGGAAAAATATTATTTTTTATCTTAGCTTTCGTTGTCTACCCATGAGTGTAGAGTTTGCGCATCTTTCACTGGAGTGACATCATTCCAGCTTAAAGCATGTCCTAGTCAGTGTCGCTATATTTTTATGCGCTTGCAATCCATATTATTCGCCACATGTCGCCGTCGCGAACTGGGATTTAGATCTTTTATTTAATAGCGCTCTCGGAAGCTCCCTTCTGATCTTTTACTTAAGTAAGTAAGGGTCGTCAAAGTTTAGGAGGCCAATTATAGAAGGCAATTTTGTATTTTCATAAATTTACCTTTTTTTCGTTGGCTTGAATTATTTTATGCTGCGGGTCACAAACCTAGCGCACAACCCATTGTTTAACCAAGTACACGTACATATAGTTAGTCGCTTGTTCCAAACAAGCCCTCGCACCTACTTGAGAACTCACGCTGTTGACTTCAGTTAGCCTTTAACCGAATAAGTCGGCGTGACCCCACGGAAGCTCCTTCTCTTTTTGCCTCAACCCAAGACTGCACTCGGATTTGTTACCGCATCTCGTACATGGGTTTCTCTGCTGCTGTTAGATTTCCAAGTTCTGACATTCACCGATTAAGTACAATTGATAAGATTTGACGATATTTTTCTTCAATGATGTTCTTTTTAGACAAAGTCATTACAGCGCCGCATAAGAAGAAGAAGATAGTGCCTTTGGCCACCACGGTTAGGAGCTTATCAAAGGGATATAAAACATCTTCTGGGTCGCGGTGTCTCTTGTTTAGGTTGCACCAATTTAATAAATAATAATAATAATAACAAAAATAGATTTAGGCTTTGAGGGTGTTTCCATGATGTCGGGCGTAAATAAATCATACAAAAACGGAAGTCGCTGTTAAAAAAAAATGCCTTTGTGTAGCTTTAACACCGTCCTTTGGCTGACAAACAATTTTCGTGCGCTTGGTACACTTTTGTAATGAAAATTATTTAAAGCGGGTCCAAACGGACGTGATAAAAAAAGAAATGGTTTCAGAATATATTTAAAAATAAGCAAAATTCTGCGAACCCTGTAAGGTTTACCTTTCTTAAACATCCTTTAAATAAAGAAAAATTATGGATCATTGCTAACAATTCATTTTTAATTTGTTTAATTTTGATTTAAAATGTGATAACTGAATGTAATGTAATCAATCAATTAATACAACAACAAATTATACAAATAATTTATAATTTTATTTTTGAGCGACAGTTTTTATTCCAACAAGGGAAATAATAACTTTTCATTTTCTTTATGCCACCAAATTCTACTCCTATTCCATTTCAACTGGAAACAATTAACCAAAACCTCCGATATGCCTCAATGGCTTACAAGCTCAATTTTATTTGATTTCCACTTTAATCCATTTAAAATTAAACTCCACTAAGCGCCAAATAAATTAAAACATCCAAAGAACCTATGCAAAATCCCCACAATTCCACTGACTTCTCTTTCATTTAACCTAAGGGTTTAAAAGCACTTAAGGTCTATATGTATAAATGTACAATCAACTCGCCACTTGCCGGCGTGCAAAAACTTTTAACAAAACTTTCCTCTGCTCTTAGCATTAAGCGCAAATACAAAAGTCCTCGCCATCAACTCAACAAATTCTCTGAATTTTCTTTGCAGGACAAAACAGCGCAACACCAACAAGAGGATGCGTTTAATCGCGAAAGCAGCGAAGAAGATCAGGATGACGCCTTCCATCGTTGGCTCACGTCCACCGAAACGAACAACAACAACAACAACAACAACAAACACAATACTACCAGCAGCAGCGATACAAATAACAATTCCATGGAGGACAGTGCGACACCAGCACGTCGCAAAAATTTGTTTAGTCTCGCTGAGGCGCAAAATAATAATGCAACCATAGCAACCAAAACATTGAATTGTACTAATCCACAGAGGGGAGGCAACAAGGGCAACAGCAGCAACAGTAGCAGCAGAAACAATAACAATAGCACAATTGACAACGTATATTTTCGCAGTTCCTACAATGACTACAGCAGCGAATACAATGGCAGTGTGGTGAATATCGATATATTGCTCACCACGGCGGATGAGCAACAACAGCAGCAGAAGGCGGATTTAATTACGCAACCAAGCAGTAATTCACAACAGACGACAGGCACAGGAGCAGCAGCAGCAGTGGTAGCAGCTAGCAACATCTCCGGCTTAGAGGTGACTACAAATACAACAACGCATCCCATTGCCAGCGTGCAAACGAGCAGTCCAGAGCGACAATGCAATGTTATGGGTAAGTCAAGTCATACTTTTTGCTAGCATTGCAAATGGACCAATGGAATTCAATGCAATTTTGTTTGATATTTGAGCTTATAAATGTTCATATGGAAGTGTGTATGTGCATGTGCTTGTGGGTACGTGTGTGCGTGTTGGTGTGAGTGGATTCTTGCAACGATGGCGCTTATCAAGCGCTGCTGTCGATGCGTTCAATTTATGTTCGCTTTGTTGCTGCTCTAATCGACTATTGGTTTCAACTAAATGAAGCACGTTTGAGTTTTAATTATCGTGTGGCGCAATGTCCAGCAATTGATTTGGATTGTGCTTTGAAGGTATGCTGAGACTCTTGTGTAATTTTCTTTAACAGTCCTTGAAATCCTAACAAATCTTGTTAAACAGTTGCGTTCAATTAAAATGTGTAAGACGGTGAACAATTTTATTTTCAATGTAAAAGCTTGAGTTGAGCATGAAGGTGAATGAAGTAGCATTGGTTCTATATAAATTAGGAAAAAAAAAACCCTTTTGAATACAAATATGTTGACCTTCGCTTGCAAATTATCCATACATCCAACCATAAAACCATCTTTAAGGTTGCTTAGCTTCCGTGGCTATTTCTTCGTATAACGGAAGACCCCTGTCTAAATTGGTTAGGGGTTAAAGACTATATATCGGCGTTATTAAAAATGTCCTAATCTTTTTTGCAAAAAAAATGTACGGCGGATGAATACAGCAGCTAGAAGTGCCCAACCTCATGCTACACTGAGGGAAATAATGCATAGTAAAAATGTATACTGTATATTTTAAAAATGTGCATATTTAAAAAAAATATTGTCTATCAAAATTTAGCACGCAGGTATTCGAATGTCCATGTATATGTAAGTGTACATAGCCAGTGGGAAAATGGGAATGCATTACCTTTTTCTCAAGAAAAGATTAACAACTACGGTTGAACAAAAAGACTCGATGTAAGCGAACGGATAATGTGTAGTTTTGAAGCCACAAACAAAACAACAAGTTGGAAAATTAACTCAAGTATATTTTTTTTCACGTTATCTCTGCACGTAACAGCTGCTGTAGCCGAATGGATGCGTGTTCGACTGCCGTGTTCACGGGTTCAAAAACTATGGCACGGAAGGCTATCATTTTTTCTTTTGATTTTTATTCTATTTGTAGATTATATTTATAGTTTCGTAAATCGACATGCGACACAATACTTTCGCATGACATCGCTGTGGAGAAATTCTTGCATCTTTTCGTGCTTAGGTTATAGGGGCTTTCCATTACTTTTTGCATTCCCCGACATAACCTTTTCCCACTGGGTTTGAAAGTGCATTTACATGCTTGCCCCAATTTGTTGATTTCCAGGGGGTCAAGGTTCGAATTGCATTGCAGGAAATATGCAAATCAAATACATATTTTTTTATCTTGATTATTTACTTCATGGATGCTTTTTCAAAACGATCGCTTCATTTTAATTTGCGCGTAACTGAATTGAATATGTATCAATATAAAGCACTTTTGTTGAAGTTTATGGTAAGAGCAACTATGTTTCTGATTGATTTTGCTATTTTTTTTTGTCAGTGTAGGAGGACAGTTTTATCAAGCTTTCATCACAAAACGGGTTAAGAAAATATTAGTATTAGTATACATCGGGGATGTTGCATTCGCATTCGTTCGAATGATTCGCATCATTTTACTCATTTCCTTCGACATTCGCAATGGCATCAAATGATACGAACAGGGACCGTAACTGTTAAAACTTTTATTAAAAAATCGTTCTTTAACAATTATTTTTTAACTTTTATTTAATTACTCCTTAAATAACCGTTATCTCTGACTTTTATTTTATAAATCCACAATAACAATTATATTTGGTTTTTATCTAATAAAACAGTTATTTTTGATTTTTAAATTATATGTCTTACGTAACAGTTATCAACGGCTTTTTTTTTGTAAAAGTCATGAATAAAAAGCAGTCACTCACCTTTATTTTTCAAATTATGCTTATAAAAGTCTCGTAGGTAACTTTTATTTCCCAAAGCCTTCTTAACTGCGAAAAATGTTAATGAATTTTATACGAATTATTTAAAAATAAAAGTCGGTGAGTGATTTATATTAATGACTTTTGAAAGTAAAAGTCACTGACGGATCTAAATTGTTGACTTTTATAAATAAAAGTCTTCAATAACTCTTATCAAAGACATAATAAAAAATCAAAAATAATTATTTGTTTTTTAATTCTGAATAAAAATTGCAAATAAAAATTTATTTTTAAATACGAGTCTTGGTGAAAAAAGGAATTGATTGGCATGTATAACTTAGTTGTAGAACATTTCATTCATAGTGAATTTTTCCATGACAGTTTTAATCAATAAACAAAAAATGTATTGCAAAGACGCACACACATACATACATACATATTTACCTGCAATTTATATATACATAGCTACGTTAGAGTGAAGATTTGCTAAGTCAATTTTTACAAAATTTACAGGAGAGGAAAAACTTTGAATACAAAATTTTGCGTGCTCAAAGCAAAGCAAAATTCCATTCGAGTCAGAAGGATTCGATGTTAATTAAGACATTTGGGATCATTTTAGTCTTATCGAATTCTCTGTGCCTATTTTGGACGTAACAAATTTGCCTTTCAATGAATATAAATAGAAAAAAAAATGTAACAGGTACCTGAATTCTTTACGTTTATAGTATCGAAATATGAGTTTTCACAAAAAGTGGATTTAGCAACTTTTCACCCTAAGCTAGTGGATATAGTATGCATGTGTGTATGTACAAATATTTCGGCAATAACTTAGATGAAACGTGAAAGTACCAAACAAATGGCAAGCAAACTTCAGCGGTTCGACACAGAAAAAAAGGGAAACACTCAAAGTGCAAACATCTGCGACCTTGAGCTACATACAATGGAACAAATGTTGGCCGTAACCGAATTATGTACACCGGTGCATTGGCGAAATGTTGGCTTGCTTTGATTCCATTTTTTCTGTGCTTTATTTGTGCGCACACTTTAAATTCACAGCGCCATAATTAACACCATTTGGTGCCTTTTTGACGGAAAATAGTATTTCAACAAAACGAAAGGGTCGTTTCAGAAAGCCACTTATTTTCGAATACGCTTTCTGCTCACTCTCGGTTTTTTAACTAATCAAAATTTGTAATTAAATCAATTATTAAAGATCAAAAACAGCTTTAACGTAACGTATTTATGAAGGAGTATTTTTGAACTTCTTAAAAAAATTATAAAATGAATATTGGTCAAGCATTAAAGACAGGAATGATACTAGCTTGGCACCAACACCGAAGGGGTTGATTAAAAAAATGTTATGTTTTTTATTGAAATGCTGTTTTTATTGCGATATATGCATATGCGGGCGGCAGGGCCTACGTTCAAGCCCTGTTCAACGCAACTTCAAAAAAATAAAAAAATAAAGAATGCTTTTTTCTAATAGTGGTTGCCCCTCGGCAGGCAATGGCAAACCACCGAGTCGAATCTGCCATGAAAAACAGTTTCTCATCAAAATACAATCGCTGTTCGGAGTCGGCGTAAAACTGTAGGTCCCTCCGCTTTGTGTGACAACATCAAGGCGCACGCCACAAATCGGAGAAGAAGCTCGGCCAAACACTAACATATATGTAAACGGCAATCTATTATATAATAATAATAATATAATAATTTAGAGTCGCTCAAAACACTCAAAGTTTTCCATGTATTTTATATGGGGAAAAAACGAGTTTTCGTAGAAACGGTAAAAAATTCTTGAAAACGCACATTTCTTGATCGGAAAACTTTATTTATCTTTTTGATATTTTCAGTAATAGTACCCAATTATTTATTTAACCATTTTCTATTACTAACTATTTCTTATAGGACCCCTAAACCCTCAAAAAATTCAATGGGGGACCCATAAAAAATCGCTTGTATTTAAAAATGGTAAAATAATCAACTGAGTATTATTATTGGCAGTCTCATAAAGAGAAGCAAAGTTTTCCGTTTAAAAAATATAGATTTTAATTCCCATGAAAACTTGTTTTTTCCCCATATAACGTGGAAAACTTTGAACGTTTTGAACGACCTCTAAATATTTTTTGGTTTAACAAAAAACAGGGCTATAATTTTTTTCGGCATAATTCATTTTATTTAACCTTGCTTACAAACAGTACGCTTTCTTATAGCTACATTTGAGTTTACATATTTGAGAATTACATAATTATTCAAGCTCTGAATCTAAAGGAATAATAAATTGAGCAATTGAAGAGCACATGCTAGAGGCTTTCCATTTGGCCTACATTGCACTTTTAATAAAATGAAATACTGTAGTAATCCATACCTTTTTTACCTTAGGGTCGTAACATTAAATACATAAATAAATAAAAGTTACAGCGACTTGAAATGTACAGGGTAGCACCAAATAACTGTAGGCCATGTTTTTTTTTTTTAAATAAAAGGGTTCTTTATATATTTTGCTAAAAAAGTACTTTATTTTTAATTTTCTACAGATTTTAATTACATTTTATTAATTAGTTTTTAAATTTTTTCCCTCTCTCTGGGTTTACAAGCGGTAAACTCTTAGAGAGAAAAGCGAAAGCGGCACGCAAGTTTTCGTCGGTTAATTTATTCCATATCTTCTGTAACCATAGGCTGATTTCCTCCTTCCTTTATACTCTCCCTTTTGTCCACCATAAGTTCTAAGACTCAGAAATCAAATAAATTCGGAGCTGGTGACTAGAGCGGCCATTTATTCGACCAACCCTATACAAACTTTCCTTTTTTTAATTTTTTTTTTTATACAAAGTTTAAGAAAAAATACACCTTAAAAAGACTTGCGTGCCACATGTACTTATCTCACAAGGTTTAAACTGCTGGAAAATGCAAATTTATTAAAAAAAAACCTGTGCGTAAGTTTTCGTCGCCACCCTCTATTCTATGGCCGTACTAAATGTTTAAATTGAAAGTAGACATTGTTGTTACTCATACGCCCTGGTAAGTAAAGCTGCAAA